TACATTCGGGATTTTATTCCCAAAGTTGCCAGATACACCAGTCTTCTCTCAAAAATGTTGAAGAAAGAAACCCCTTCATGGGGACCAGAACAAACCCAAGCTGTCCAAGAAATAAAGAAGATCGCACAAGATCCTCCTACATTAAAAATCCCAGGGGATGGAAAAAGGATTCTCCAGACTGATGCAAGTGATCATTACTGGGGTGTCATCTTCATTGAAGAAATACAAGGAAAGAAATTCTATTGTGGACATGCTAGTGGAAAATTCAAAGAAGCAGAGAAGCATTATCACACCACCTACAAAGAAGCATTGGCCGTAAAGAATGGAATCAAAAAGTTTGATTTCCATTTGCGGGGACATCATTTTGAAGTCCAGATGGACAATTCCTCATTCCCAAAAATCCTGGATTTCAAGAATAAGCTACCACCTGAACCTCAGATCTTGAGGTTGAAAGATTGGTTTTCTAGGTATGATTTTACTGTTAAGCATATTAAAGGAAAACACAACCTCATCCCTGACTTCCTATCAAGACCTCAGAAACCAGTTTTTGTCATAACTTCCTCCCATAGCTTTCCATTAATCTTCATGGTAAAACCTTTACCTGATACTGCAAAAACCAGAAAGTTATATCCTCCTGGTTTTGAACCAAAAAGTCCTGAAGAGATTATCCAGTTTGCTAAAGCTCATTATTTTTATTATCTTCATGAAACTTTAAGGTTTAAAACAATTCCTCCAACCATGTTTGACCCTATAGAAGAACATCCTGGAATCTTCAAGTTATTTTGTGAAATTGGGTGGGATTTGGCTGAACCAACTCTTTGGGCCATATGGTGTAAAATCGTCCAACATTCAATCCCAATTGCCTTAAGGACACAGTCAGCTTATGATATTCTGATAAATCCAGACAAGGCTGATTATTTATTCTGGACTTTATTAGAATGGTTTTCGCCTCTCACATGGTGGAGACGTGAGTTAAAAAAAGGTCATCAATTTTCAAAGAAACCAAAAGGGAAAGACTAGAAAACAATGTGAGTCTTTAACCTCTATTGCCATCATCAGTCGCCCTTATTTTCAGAAGCCTACAGGACAACTCTGGTCCAAAAATGAAGCTTATTTTTGGGGAACCTTTGAAACATATCCTCCAGATCAAAGTTATAAGACACAGTTGATCAACCATCTCAAAGAAGTAAGGATCCAGCAAAAGAGCCAAGATGAAGTCAGTTCATCACACAGTCGTCTAATCCCTTCTCAGACAAGCCATCAGGGTATCAACGCTTTCATGAGCAGAACTGAATATTATGTTCCTGATGAACAGTTCTAGACGGCTAATGATTTAGGAGAAAACGACGAAAATCTCTACTATGCTGAATTGATGATGAATAGCTGTTCTGATTCAGACACCTCAGATCCAAATCTCTCTCCTAGTCACGAACCTATCATCAAAGGAAAATAATGATCGGAATCTGCTTTATGAGTTGTCTGCCACCAGTTTTATGAGTGGTCTGCCATCCGTTGTATAATAGGGGTGTACGATAATTTGTATTTTATGTGAGTCATGACCATGTAGGTCCCTCTCTTTGTGGTCGTTCTTATCGTCTGAGTCAGATTAGCTTGTCTATTTGTATGAGTCACACTTACAAGGACTCTTACCTTTTAGTTAGCCAATCAGAATTGGCCCATGTGTAAAATATGTCTGTCTCTTGAGAGTCACTTGAGAACCCCTCCGAGTCTATATAAGGAGGCACTCTCTCAGTTTGTAATCAAGTTGAATTCGAAACAAAACTTATTGTGTGTTTATTACTCATGGATTGCTAAAACCTCTCTTCTCTCTTTCGAAAGCTCTTGATCCTATTATAGTATTATGTTCTCAGTAGCACATGTTTGAGCAAGTACACTCTGTACTCGCCTCTTTAAGGGGATCTTGTACAACAGAACGCTATGAACCATTGATCTAGTATTTCCAGTCCTTAGGACTTATGATAAATTTGCCTTATATAAGATAGAGGCTAAAAAGAGTAGACGAGGGATGCCGAAAAAGTAAGCAAGTTCTTATATGGTGGTAAGTGACTCTTAAGTCTCTAAGGCTCCCGGCCATAGTGGTATCAGAGCCTTAATCTGACACGTTAACTGAGGATATAATCCTATTATATAGGCCGGCCATAGTGGTATCAGAGCCTTAATCTGACACGTTAACTGAGGATATAATCCTATTATATAGGCCGGCCATAGTGGTATCAGAGCCTTAATCTGACACGTTAACTGAGGATATAATCCTATTATAGAGGAAAGAGTGAAAGAGTGAGTAGAAGAGAGACTCTTTCTACCATGGAAAATCCTATCCTTACTCGTTCTAACCCAGAAACTCAACCCGCCTTTCTAAATACCTCTTTATCTTTACCAAATCATGTTTCACGAACCCTAGCCCCTAAAATAGAAAATCTCGTCGAATACTCCTATATTCCTGAAGACGCTCAGATTTCTGAGAGCGCCGCCCCCTTTTTAAGTCCATATAATATCTTCAAGCGACAAAGATCTACTCTAAGATCTATCTCTCAATTGGTCTGATCTAAACGACCTCATGAGAAAGAATACGTTCAATCTTCCAAGATGGAACAGTGTTCTTTGATGGCCACCTCTGAGGAACAATACGTCACCATCGAGATTCCTAGAGAACTTGTCAGGCACTGGAGAACTGATGGTTATACTCATCTTCACTATGGAGCCATCAGACTGATGCTCATCCTCCATGGAAGACGCGGACTCCCTGTCTCTACAAGGATTTCCTTGCTAGACACCAATTACCTCCACTACGAAAATGCCATAATAGGCACAGTCTTGACTACACTCCATGCTGGAAGTGTAGTACTAACATTGTTTCCCAATTACAATGTTAGCCTGAGAGACCCCACCGTACCAGACAAACTAAAGGTGTAGGTCCAGATCACTGGAGCAGCTCAGATCTCTGATGTTGTTTGTGCCACCCTTCACTACCAGATTATCTACAGGCTGTAGTCTCATGCAGTCAACCTGGCCTTATCCAGCAGCAATGACAGTGCGTTGTTCATCCTGGCAAACCAGGCAGAAGAGAGTCCTTCAATAGTCCAAGTTCCTAGGAATATCACCAGGGAACAACTGAAGGAACTCATTCCTTTGCAATGGGTGACGAACTATGAAAATCTCCACAAGCATCACGGGAAACACATATAGACAGACCAGGCAACTTTTCGTCGATCTACTGATGGAACAGTTCGGACGATTTTTTAACAACCGGAAAAAGCCTCAGGCCTAATTTTCCAAACTATGATGCTAGAACCCTTTGTCAAAGAAGGGAGAATTCCCATTTTTGCAGTACATGCGGATGGGAGGGAAATTTACACTGACCGAATCAACGGTAATTTCATCTGGGATGTCAACCCAGAGATGTGTGATCTTGAGTGCAACTGCTGGATGCACTCTAAAGACACCAGTGACGAAGAAGACAGAGAATCAGATAGTGATGATGAGGGTTGGGATACACCCTACAAGTCACCTCCTCGTCCCAACAGAAGATCTGATTCACAGAACAAATCTTGGGGAAGAACTTATAGAACCAACCAAGAAAAGGGTAGTTCTTTCAACAGGTTCGTACCAAGATGTTCAGATGAGGTAAAAAAGTTTTTTCAACCTACCTCTAAACCTACACCATGCTTCATGTTTTCAGAAGCAGAAAGAGATGTAGAGTTCCCTCCTTTGGAAAGAAAAATAGATCCCAATACGAGGTACTCTACCAAACCCACCATCATTCCCTCGGAAATTGGTACTGACGGGAAACCGAAGGTACTAAGCTAAGCAGAAGAAGTTCTAAACTGGCATATGGAAAATGCCCAAGCACAGAACTCCCTGCTAAAGAGGATTGATGACAAGCTAGGTCACAAAAATGTCAAGTAGTATGCAAAAGTTAGAGGATAAGCTGGATTATCTCTCATCAAAATGAAGACTTATTACCAGAAGTTAACTGCTAACATCTCTAGACTAGAGAATGAAATGAGGCACACCTCTTTTGGCGCAGCGGCAAATGAAAAGGATCGAGAAATCAAGAGCCTAAGGGCTCAACTCTTCCAATTGGAAGAACAGATAGAACAAAAGAAGAAGGCCTTGCAGCCTCAGTCAGTTTCTGTTGATCCTTACGCGTTCTTACACTCTCATGCACCAGTATCTCATTCTCTATTCAAGACACCATCAGTCTCGTGGTCTAGGCCTGAAAGACCACATTATAACATACCTACTACCTCTACAAACTGGCAATGGCGAAAAACAGAATCCAGTTCAAGAAAAGTTTTCAAATCCACAGAAGACGCTCCTATGTCTTCCCATTCAATCCCGACTTCATCTCCAAAAAGGCATGATACCGGAAAAGGTCATTATTTTCAAGACTCTCAAGACCTTTACTCTCAGATGCCTATCAGCCAACACTTTGACTCTGCCAGAAATGATAAACAACTTGCCATTTCAGAATCTTCTGAAAGCTCTAAATTAGATGATAACTATCTCACGGATTCATCTGATGAAGATTCTCTTACCTCAGCTTCATCAGAAGCACATTTGGCAGATCTCTCTGTTTTAATGGCATCATCCACCGGACCAGATCCTATCTATGAATCACCTGATGAAAGCCCCAGACAGAGGATTAGAAATGGAGTTGCCAAACCAACTAGTGGACCTTGGTTCACCCTTGATGATATTGAACCAAGCCAATAGAGATCCCGACTGATAGAATTTGGTGCTTGATTAGACACCAGATTCATGAAAGGAGATGCTGAACCCTACAAAATCATTGAAGAATTTAGGGTTTAGGGTTTAAGATTTAAATTTTTAAATTTAAAAATTTGTTTCAAGCCTCTTTCTCACTCTCATTTGTTTTATAAGTTGACCTTCATATAATTTAACAACTGCCAAAATATTTTAACAACACGATACAACCCTCTTTTGTTGCTCCGCGCTCCAAGTCATGTTTAGTCTTGGTTCAACAAATCAAACTAAGTTATTTATATATAATTAAAAGTATTATTAATAATTACATTCGTCGGAATTGTTTGTCCTCATGAGTTGCCCATTTATTCTTTGTAGGACATGACATGTGTGAACAAAGTTGATGTTTAATTTGTCTCCAGCCCTGAATTCATATACTCTGTTGTTCACCTCAACGAAACTGACACCCGACATCTTTTCCACACACATATCCCGCATAACCTTCCTTACCATCCCAGCTTCCTTCCACCTACCAAGCGAGGCATACGTATTGGATAAGAGCGAATAATTCCCACTATTCTGGGGCTCCAACAGTCTCAGATGACGCAAAGCTTCCGCTGCTAGTTCAGCATCACCATATCTATTTGAAGCAGCAAGAAGGGATCCCCATATAGCTTCATTTGCTTCACAAGGCATCACTCTAACTAGCTCCTTTGCTTCTCGAAGATACCCAGCACGCCCAAGCAAATCAACCATGCAGCCATAATGCTCAATCTTGGGTTCAATTCCATATTGGAATCTCATAGACGTGAAATAATGACGACCCAGTTCAACCAATCCAACATGGCTACAGGCAGAAAGGATGGCGATAAAGGTCACCTCGTTTGGCTTTACTCGCGCCTTCTCCATGCGAGAAAACATACCAAGGGCCTCATTTCCAAGACCATGTAAAGCAAGCCCAGCGATCATTGTTGTCCACGTTATAATCGTTTTATGCTTCATATTCTCAAACACTTGGAGTGCTTTACCTATGTCGCCTGATTTGGCGTACATATGAATGAGAGAGTTATAAAGAGGGACAGTCTTACGCAATTTATGCTTTTGATTTTGAATGTAGCAGTGAATCCACTCCCCCAGGTGAAGAGCACCCAAACTGGCACACGCGGAGAGCACAGCCAAAATTGCAATTTCATCTGGCTGCACATTATGGAGCAGCATAATGCGGAAGAGCGCGCTGGGACTATGAGTCTGGGCGTATCCTGAAATAAGTGCAGTCCAGGAAACAACATTCCTATCCTTTTCAGGCATAGATTCAAACAAGTTGCGGGCATTGGACATGTCACCCATCTTGGCATAGGCTGCGAGCATAGCAGTCCAGAGGGAAACGTGTTTGAAAGTGGCTCCATCGAACAGCTTCCGAGCAGAAGAAACGTGAGCGCATGAAGAATACATGTGAAGGAGGGATGTGAGGACAGTGGGGTGGGACTCGAAGCCAGAAACAATAGCTTGGGAATGAACCTGCTTGCCAACGTGGAGGGCAGATAAAGAAACGACGGACTTCAAAACAAAAGGGAAAGAGGAAGAGTCGGGTCGCAAGCCAAGGAGACGAATTGCGTTGAAGAGAGAGATGGCACGCGTGGGGTTGGATGAAGATAGAGCCCAAATGACGTTGTTGTAGACAAAGATGCTGGCTCGGTGGTTATACATGAAAACAGAATAGGCGTATGAGGAAAGGCCGAGAGAAGCAGATGTTTGTATAAATCGGGCCAGGAGGATATCGTCTTGGTCGAGACCTCTGGTAAGCATGAACCCTTGTGTCTGCTCAAGATGACTCAGATTGGAGCAATCACAAAGCAAATGCTCTGCCTCTGCAGCTGCTCGTCGACATGCCCATTGCCACTCCCGCACCTTTCGATTCAATCCCCAATTCATCCCTGAGTTACATCTTGCTTGGACCATTACTACTTTCGCACTTGATTCATCCACTACAGACTACTGAATCCAATTGAATGTCACTATATAATTAAATTTTCAAATCACAACTGCAACACCAGGTATAGGTATAACTCCCACCAAATTCGTAAAATGGTCCTTTCCACAAATATGATTTATTGAATTCTAATTAGCTGATTATTAATATATTTTTGGTACATTAAATAAAGTTAAATATATTTTAAACCTTACCACAAATATGTCTTTCTCCCGTTTGAGCATACTGATCCACCGATTCACTCAATGATTTATTGATTCAACACTCTGATTGGTTCAATGCCCCGTTCAAGTTTTAAAACATTGTGTTTTAGACTTTTAGACTTTAAAAGAAATTTTTCAATTTAGATTTTTTAACATTTACTTATTGTGGGTGTCAAAAATAAAATATTTACTTATTGTTCTTCTTTAATTTGTATCATTAACTTTAATTAGTTTAGCATTGACATGGAATATTATCATAATTAAGGTAACAAATGATATTTTAAATTAAGATAATTTGATATCAGAGCATTATTATAGAAAAATAATTGAATTGTGTTTATTTAAAATATTATTATAGAAAATGTCAAATATCTAAAACGAAAAGATATTTTTGAAGAACTAAAAGGAGATATATGTATATTTGTAAAAACTTAAAAATATTTAAGCCTAATAAAAAATATATATTTTACAATATTAAAACTTATGTGTAAAAAATTACATTAATCAAATTTTAAAATATATGAATTACAATTTAATTATTTTACTTACTTAATAATTTGAAAACTATAAAAAAGTACTAAATTTAGAAAATACCTTAACAAATTATAATTCAATATTAATTTTATAAAATTAGAATATAAACTATAATTTAATATTTTTACTTATATAATAATTTTTAATTGTAATTTTTTATTTTATTAAATTTTGAAAAATAAAAAATACAATTTTATATTTGTATTTATATAACAATTTTGAAATTATAGATATTTTATTCAATTTCAAAAAACCAAAATAAAAATTATAAAATATAATAATAAAAATATTAATATAAAACACATTAAATTATATTATTTAATGATTAAATATTTTAATTTTATAAATTTTAATAAA